TCCCGTCCACCACTAACGGAGGGTTCCCCAACCTTTGCTATTTTAAAGCGGGTGGCCTTCAACCCCCAGAATTTCCCCAGCCAGGTTGGTGGGGGGGGGAATTCTGGGAGTTGAAGTCCACCCGTCTTAAAGTTGCCAAGGTTGAGGAACCCTGCACTAGAAGACAGCAAGGGGCTTGTTTCTGCTCCCATCTGGATTTCTACAGCCTGGATCAGTATTCCCCCAGAAGATAGGACATCGAGGTAGGAGCATATCCTGAGGAGCTTACCAAGGCAAGAAGACTTTTTTCAAACTTCAGGGTCAGCTCTCTGCTAAACCGTCCTCCCAGGATGCTGGTAACTTCATGCAGAGAATACCATTCAGGACACCTCTTCACGTAACCAATGCGAGCTCTCAAAAAATCCTCAGAGGGAAGAGAAAGGAAGGACCTCATATTCTTCAAACGTGCCTTGGAATACTTAATTCTCTCGAACATGAAAGAGCTTCGGCACAACATATTTCTGTTTTTTTTTAAAATTAACCTAACAATTTACCATTATTTTGAAAATAAAAGTTCGTCACACCTTTGGGAATAAAAAAAAAAAAGGACTAAGAGAGAACAGCTTTGAGGAAATCTCAGCAGGTGGCAACTCCCCAACCTTGTTGATCATGGAAAACCTGATTTAGGCCTGGGAGCTTACGTGGATGGAAGGCCACCAGGGGATCCTAGGACGGGGGACTATACTGGGAAGCTACTTTGACATTACTGCCAAGAAAGCAACAGGGACGTGTCCATGAAGTCACCGGGAGTCAAGCTTGACTTGAAGGCAACTTTGCAACTATTCACCCAAATAAATATTTGGAATATGCACCTCTTGAGAACTGAAAGAGCAGCTCGTTTCTTCTCAAGTGGCTATCAGTTTTAGAAGCAGAGGGGCTCTCTATTCCTGGATAAGGTAGCAGAGCCATCTTTTAATATTACCTTGGTATAAACTAATGCGTCTTCAGAGATGTCACTGTAATCTTTAGAACAACTTCTAGCAGCATTCTGGGCAAATTTCAAGAATTCTGCTACTTCTTTGCTCACAAATTCCTTCATTTGCTGAAACAAATGTAACAACAGTAATTTTAAAACCATCATTCTTTTAGAAGTCACTATTATCAGTTTTCTGGATCCAATAAGTTTTAAAACCATGAACAGAGCCGGATCAAAAGCAAAGTTCGTCTGAAGCCACAGACTGGTAGCCTCTTTTTCAACATCCTTTAGTGGCATGGGTGAAAATTGCCAGATCTAAGCAGCAATTGACTTTTCACCACTGAAACCACAGCTTGTCCAAAGACCCCAGACTTCAGGGGTGGAAGACACAGGCTCGAATCCCACAAGGAAAAACACGAGGAAGTTTTTTAGGTTGAGAGAAGGGTAGGAAAGGAAGGGGGAACGAGGAAGGCAGAAGGTGAATCTTCTGGGTGGCACAGCTCTCTATGACACAGCTCCCTACATTCGTAGGACTATAGTAAAGCTGGTTCCAAGCGCCAGAATTTCTACCAACCACCTCTTGCCCGCGCCTAGTCCGCGTAAACAATCTGTTCATCTCCGCAGTACACTAGAAAAATAAAGAAGCAGAGCACTTACCAGATATTGTGCGTAATTTCTTTGCCGCGACCAGGGCAAGAGGCTGGGATCAGCATTTAAATATTCAGACAAAAGAAATAAGTATCTCCTTTGCTCTTTCTCAGACAAGCTAGAAACATAAGGGTAGGGGACCCTTGGCTCCTGACAAGGCGCCACGGAAGGCTCCGCTTTAACTGTGGTCTGTTGCCCAGGCTGCTGCTTTTCTTGCCTGGAGGTTGACGCACCAGCCTTGGTCTCTGCATGCCTGAAACCAACAGAGCCATCTTCAGCTGTAGGGAAACTGTCCCAATTCCCATTCAACCAGGAGCATGCTGCACACACAGTTCTGACGCTTACTTTTTTTTTATTCTGGCCAAAACGGATAAGGAGCCTTCGGGTTTACTCCCCCAACCCCCAACATGAAAGAGAACATTTAAAACTTTACTTTGAAAGAAAAATACATGGGGTGGTGTTTTGGTTATAGATGTTAACCGTTGATTGTGATAATCCTTTTCACTCCCTTTTTTTGCCTTTGAAACCTCTCCTACGTGGTAAGAGTGAATTTGTATTCCTGTTCTCAGACAAGAACGCTGCGTTCAGTACAAATTACTTGAATGAAACAGTGCTGACCCTGTGCTCCTTTAGGAGCAGGCACAAATCATATATAAAGTCATTTTCTTTCAGCAGCCCAAACCATTTCCCATCATTCTTAAAACCCTTTTCAGCTTTGTACATAGCACATCTTAATGCATGATGGGGTGCTGCTGGGGAAAAAAAACCTTCTAAAGCCCCTGTGATTGCACAGAATTTGCTTTATGGTTCTTTGGATCCTGCACACATCCCCAGGAACCTTGAATGGTTGCACGAACCACAACCCCGTGTCCTCAAAGCACAATGGCTTGCGCTGCACTTAAGTGTGTCGGACAAGCGTGGTTAAGTCATGAGCATATTTTGGATTAACTAAACCAAGTGTTAACTGCTGATCTAGTAGAAAAGACAGACTTGAATTACCTCCCAGGAAAAGGTCTCAGCAGTATCATCTCTACCGCTCTTAATAACACGACACAGCTGTCTCTCAGAATGAGAGAACGTGTCCATCCTTGTGGCACAAACTGGCAAATTTAATTAAGCTGCTCTCCCAACAAGATGCTGACTCAGGCAGGCCCGATGCAGGAATGTCAAGTGATTTGAGCAGCTGAAATTAGCTCCGTTGGATGGAGAAGGGGAGAGGAGCCCATCAGGAGATGTTGGCAGCATGCGGCTGGCAAAGCCCGCAGCAGAAAGAAAGGCAAAGTCGCCTTCCCTGCCTCCTTTCCTCTGCATCCCCAGCTGGGTACTATTTAAAACACCCCTTTCTTCAAAGGAGAAAAGATCCTACGCGAAGGAGTCTGGTAGCACCTTTTCCGACAAATGCGTTTTGTTAAAAGGCGCGAGCTGACTTCATGAAATTTTACAGCTTTGAATCAAAGTGGTTAGTCAGAAAAGATGCTACCAGACCCCTCCTGATGTTGGGCTACCAGAGACCAACCTGACTCCTACCGCTAGAGAAGAGGAGGAACTCAATGTTTCGGGTGCCAATTCAGATCTTCTTGGCATTTCATCTGCCCTTTGATGCAGCAGCCTTTGCTCTCTGCCCTCCAAGCTTCTGCACCGAAGATGTTACCTGGCCGGGTAATGAAACGTCTGCAAGCAAACAACCAAGCTCAGAGAACCCCAAGGGCTCACAGTTCAACCCTCAGCTACACATCTTCACGTCTACTGGTTCCAAGCTTCGTCACTGCAAAGCATCAAGGAACCAATTCATGGGAAGAGCTACCTGGAACCACCTGCTCTTCAACCCCCACTCCAGGAAGAGCATATCCTTCATTTCATTCCTTGCCAGATGTCTTCCTACTCTAATTTTAATTATTGTCATTCATTTCGCACGGTTCATATTTTATTTTAGATGGTGATCCACCCTGGGATAAACTGAAAAAAGATGAAGAACAACAATGAACCAACTCTCTACTGAAGCTCAGACTGTTAGGAAAATGTGTCCGCTTTCCAAACTAGCATCAGATTGCTGGAGAAGAAGCAAACGGTTCCCACTTTTCATTTCCAAGGTAGATCTCAGCTGTAGATGCTATGATTGTTCTTCTCATGAGTTGCTCAGAAACACATCCTGCAGTAAAGGTTTGTCCCTGGCAATCTATTGGGTGCCCATCAATTTATTTAGAGGATAAAGACCTTCTGCCCTCCCTCGCTTCTAATGATTGGATTGGGGCCTCCGTCTGAAAAAGGGGAGCCTCCATCTCTCTGAGGAATTGCCGCATCTATTCAAATACACCTGCAATTAGGAAGGTTTTTCTCTACCATTCAGTCAGAACCTGCCTTCTTAAAGAGAAAGAATACAAGGAGATTCAGGTAGTCCTCGACTTATGATCACAATAGGGACCGGAAAATTCGTCGTTAAGCAGTGCGGTCGTTAAGCCAGGCGTCACATGACCGCACCCGATTTTTAGGGCACAAAGAAAGTAGCCATAGTACCACTCAATTCTCTTCCTGCTATGCTATTTTTTGAGCACTACAGTCCTATAATTTGTTTTATTATAGGTTTTTAATTGTATTTTAATGGTTGTTTTTAATAGTTTGGATTGTTTGGGTTTTTATTATTTGTGTGTGCCCCCCACCGTCACAAGTGTGAGATGGGCAGCTATATTAATTTAATAAGTAAATAACAAAATAATAAATAAATAAAATATATAGGTGGGCCCATCTTACTGTCTACCATAGCGTATTATGGTAAATGTGTTCAGAGCAAAATTTTTACTCCCCTCCCCCTCCCCAATGCACAACCCTGTTATGCTGGGAGACAGATGAAAGGCCTGGAATATTTGCCTGGAATAATCCTCACTCAACACAGATGAGAACACACATTGCTTTAAACTGTACCATGGTTTGTTTCTTTGTGGCTTAGTTTATGAGCGGTGAATTCAGCTTTTGTGGCACCTAAGCCATGATTTTTAGCTTCGTGTTATGCAACTGGGGCTCGAGACCACTGAACTATACTGCATAGTGAACAAACCACGGCTTAGCAGAAAGTGTGTCAACAAGACCTGCTTGGGAATAACTATGAATCAACTCCCACCATAATGATGGTAGAATTTAACTGTAATAATACTCTAGAGCAGTGTTTCTCAACCTTGGCGGCTTTAAGATGTGTGGACTTCAACTCCCAGAATTCCCCAGCCTTCCATGTTGAAGTCCACACATCTTAAAGCCGCCAAGGGTGAGGAACACTGCTCTAGAGTATTATTACAGTTAAATTCTACCACATTATGGTGGGAGTTGATTCATAGTTATTCCCAAGCAGGTCTTGTTGACACACTTTCTCATTATGGTGGGAGTTGATTCATAGTTATTCCCAAGCAGGTCTTGTTGACACACTTTCTCATTATGGTGGGAGTTGATTCATAGTTATTCCCAAGCAGGTCTTGTTGACACACTTTCTCATTATGGTGGGAGTTGATTCATAGTTATTCCCAAGCAGGTCTTGTTGACACACTTTCTCATTATGGTGGGAGTTGATTCATAGTTATTCCCAAGCAGGTCTTGTTGACACACTTTCTCATTATGGTGGGAGTTGATTCATAGTTATTCCCAAGCAGGTCTTGTTGACACACTTTCTAACTCGGGATACGCCCAGAGTCACGGAACGGATTAAGTTCGTATCCCGAGGTACCACTGTAAAACATTGACAATACTCCAAGTAAAAATATATAAAATCAACCTATACTATCCTATCCTTTGCCAGGATGCAATTTCTAGTCACATTTGTTATAGGAAAGCATATACTAATACCTTTTCGATAATGACATTAGCTCGGAGAGGGTTGGAGCCAGAGAGTACTTCTCATAAAGTTCCCGTGAGAAATACACATCGTGACCATTTTGGGGTGGAATGTCCCTATGGTGTAAGAAAAAATCAACAGTCAAATCTATAACAGTATTAAAAGCAATCATCAAGGGCATGCTAAATTGAGATAGGTGAAGTTTGAACTTGAATACCGCCCCCCCCAGCTTATAAGCATATTACCTCTATCCATCAATAATTCAGAGTTTGCATTTTCAGGGGTTCCTTCCAAGGCAGTGGTTCTTCAACTGTGAGACCCCACTGCCCCTTTTCCCAGTCTTGAATAATGGCACTAACCTCCCCCGCCCCAAAAAACCCAGACTCTGTTGTTTTACACAAGTGCCTTGGCAGCATCCGTGCCAAACTGGATCCTCGACTCAAAAACAAACGATTACAAATGGCTCTGTCACCCCCATGATGTGCCCAAATTACCCCCTTGGGTAACTACCCAGTTAATTAATTAATTACCCTTAGGGTAATCAGCCACAGTTTAAGAACCACAGTCTGAATGCACGCCAGGAGTTTAATAGAGTTTGCTAAATATTGTTATTTTAGGGCTGAGGATCATGGGCAAATAACGCACTTAAAGGTTGCCATCTTAAAATGCTTTATTTAAGAGGGGGAGTTTCCCACAGAGGACAAGAGGCGACAAATCCAGGGAAGACCCCAGGGAGGGAAGAGCACAACGCTTTGCTATTCGCCCTCCTGTCAGCCCCCAACTTTCCTTTCCCCCTTCGCTTCTTCGTGACTGATCAGACCTCCGGCTTTGTCCTCAGTTCTGGGGTACCAGAGAGTTTATTTTACGGCAAGGAACCGGCGCAGCAAGTGTGGCGTCTCTGCCTCCGTGCCGGACCCTCGCGGGGCTGCAGAAAGAGGAACGGACGAAGCGATTCTGGGCTCTAAACCTGGGGGCTGCCAGGGCAGCCTGGGCTGTTCGACTCACGGGGGTCACTGGCCAATGATCCTTGATTGATTGATTGATTGATTGATATCCCATTTTTAGACTGCCCTACTCCAAAACAGACATTAATATATATACACACACACACAACATATATGTGTGTGTGTGTATATATATATCATACA